CCCCCCCCCCCCCCCCCCCAAATTTTCCCATCCTCTGTGGGCTTCTCCCTCTTGGTTCCATTCCACCTATCAACTCCCTTCCCTGGTATCCCAGCAACCCAGGGCAGTTTAGGAGAGGCAGAGGTGAAGTGGTTGCCATAGCAACAGAGGCGGTGAAAGGTCATTCTGGCATTAGCCTAGGTGGCCCAGCAGCAGGCCAGAGCTGGCATTGAGGGGGGGATGGGATGGGAGGCTACAGAATTCTTTTTCTCCTCTTCCATTCTGCCCAGAATGGTGCTGGAAGGAAACCCTGACGTGGGGTCCCCCCGAACCTCAGACCTCCAGCACCCTGGGAGCCAGGGCTCCTGCATCCTCTCTTCTGGTGAAGATGTGCAGCCAGGCGAGGAGCCCATCAAGTATGGCGAACTCATCGTCCTGGGGTGAGCGTCCCTGGCCCAGGTGGGGTGGGGCACCGGGCTCCCTGCAGGGCAACCAAACCAAGGGCCCCAGTCCTCCCCATCTCTGACCTTCTGCTCTTTGTCCTTCCTCACCTTCCCAGCTGAGAGACAGAGTTGACCAAACCCACTTAATTCATAATTGTTATTTTATCTTCCCATTTTCCATAAATTACGAAGACAACTCTTAACTACCCACCTGTTTCTGATCAGAAAAAAGCAACACAGCTGCCTTTCATGAACCACCTTGTGAGTGTGTAGTTTGAGGTGAAGAACTCTGGTTCTCTATCAAAATTGCTTGGTTCAAATCCTGCCTCTGCAAGTTGTTTAACTTCCCTCTGCCTCCGTTTTCCCCTTTTACAAATAGGGATGATGATATTACCTCAGAGGGCTGTTGGAAGGAAGGAATGAGGTGATTGCTGTAAAGCGCATAGAACAGTGCCTGGCACGTATCAAGTGTTCTGGGAGGCAGGCCTGTGCCAAGCCGTTTCATGGACATTATTTCATTTCAATCTTCACAAAGATGCTGTGAGGAAGGAGGTGAGGAAACCGAGGCTCAGAGAGGGGAAGTGACTGGTCCAAGGGCACACAGCTGGTAAGTGGCAGGGCTGGGATTTGGATCCAGGTTCCTTACTCTAGGTCTAGTGCCCTTTCACTAAAGCCACAGCTGATTTTCATGCTACAGATGAGAAAACTGAGGCCAGAAGAGAGGAAGTGATGTGAGTTGGTGGTTGGGTAGACTTCCTGGTCGCTGTCCGGTCAGGGTCCCTGCAACAACCACTTTGCTTTTCCCCCAGACACAGGTCCCTCCTTCTCCCCCATGAGTACTTCCTCTGGCCTTTCTCTCTGCCATCTGCCCTGAAGAAAATATCCGAGAAGCTATGTTATCATTATGACGATTTCGTAGAAATCATACTGGCTACTGTTTGATGACATACACATGCCATGTGCTTTAAAAAAATTTTTTTTATTGATTTCAGAGAGGAAAGGAGAGGGAGAGAGAGGTAGAAACATCAATGATGAGACAGAATCACTGATCAGCTGCCTCCTGCATGCCCCCTCCTGAGGATGGACCCCGAAACTTGGGCATGAAATCAAACCGTGACCTCCTGGTTCATAGGTCAACACTCAACCACTGAGCCACACCAGCCAGGCCCATGTGCTTTTAAAAATAATAATAGCTAACATTTATTAAGGGTCTGCTATATATATGCCAAACTCTGTGCCAAACATTTTTAAATGCTTTATCTCGTTTAGTTCTCACAATGAACCCAAAGTAGGCCCTGATAAATTAGCCCCGTTTTACAGAGGTCATGTGATAAATGGACAAGGCAGGATTTCAGCTAGGCCCTTCTGAGCCCCAGCCTGTGTCCTGAACTGCCCCCCGCCCCATATGTGGAAGGAGCTTACAAGGGTAAGAGTGGTGCCCCTCTCAGGGATGCTTGCCTTAGAATAGCAGCTGCTTGGTGTTCCAAAGTCAGGGCTGTCTGCAGATAGAGGTGAGACCAGTGATGGGGGAGAGCGCAGACCGAGGGTCAGGTCCTCTTGGCAGCTGGTGGTTCAGTGCCGAGCATTGAAGCCCACACTGTCTGTACATCTGAGCCACCTGGAGAGCACATGGAAAGTGGCCAGTGACAGGCCCATCCCAAACCTACAGAATCACCATCTCCATGGGTAGGGCCAGGGAACCTGTATTTTAACAAGCTCCTAGAAGGTTCTGATCAGGTGGTCCTTGGCTGTATTTGGCAGCTCTTCATCCTGTCAAACCATCCATTGCTCCCCATTGCTTACAGACTAAAGGCCAGCCCCCTCAGCCTGGTTTTCTGGGCCCTTCCACGAACCTCATCTTCTCCTGTTGCACTTCACCATCTGAGTCACCATGCCCTGATCTCATCAAGCTCTGCCAGCCTCAGGGCCATTGCTTCCGATGAGCCTTACCTCTAAACGGGCTTCTGCAGGAGAGGCTGGAGTCAGACAGACCCGAGTTCAAATCTAGACTTTTTCACTTATTAGCCTGGGACCTCGGGCAAGTCATTTTACCTCCCTGAGCCTCAATTTTCCTCATTTGTAAAATGGGAAGAAAGACACTTGCTTGGCAGGACATTGCGCAGGTTCCATTAGGTAATTAATGAAGCACCAGGAACATGGGCGGCTCCAGTACATGGCAGCAATCAAGTCTCTGACCCACCTCATCCTTGCTTTCCACATCATTCCCTCCGGACAAGAGCTGGAAAGGAAGGTAGAAATTTTTTGATGTGAATGGCTGTATGGAGGGCGTGGCATTGTGGGTCTAGTTTTTCTTTTGTTCTGGTTTCCAGTAGTACTGTGGTGTCATAAACGGCAGTTGGCTAAAGGTGACTCCTTTCCAGTTCTTCAAGGTCCAGTAGAGGTGTGCTCTCTCCTAGAAACCTGATCCTGGGGCCAGAATTCCCTTCTCCGGCCTCTGGGCTTGTAGTGCACTTGACTTGTGCCTGGGTCATGGCAGGTGGCACCCAGGTTCCTTGAAAAGCTGAGGATCCCCCTCTGCCACCACTAGGGCATAGAACTGACCTGTGGTTCATCGCTTATGCCACCCCAGTGCCCAGCACCTGGCTGGGCACGGCTCAGGGGGGCCAGGAATCACTGGTTAATTGAATGAAGAATCCTTTCAGGGTGTTCTGACCCAGTCCGCTCCCGAAAGGCCCCACTTTGATCAGTAGGGTCTTCTGGTTTCCGGTGGTCCTAGGGCTTGTTTATTAAGGTAGGATCCGCCCAGAAGTTGGCAGCTCCTACTAGTCTCTCAAAGGCTCACTTGTATCTCTCTCCCTACAACCTTTGCTTACCTCCCCATATACACAGCTACAATGGTTGTCTATCAAGTGGGGACAAGGGCCGCCGGCGAAGCCGCCTGGCACTGAACCGCAGGCCACATGCCAACGGAGTGAAGCCAGACGTCATGCACCATATCTCCACGCCGCTCGTCTCCAAGGCAAGCAGCTTGTCCCAGCAGACCCGGGTAGCGGTCCTGCCCTTGCTGCCCACACCCCCTGGAGCCCGGGAGCTCACTGTATCTTTACTCATTGCCTCCTGGGCTGCCAGAGAAATGGTGCTGGTGGGAGAGCCTTTGCAGGGTGCACAGTCCTTTCCAGTTTGCAAAGCATTTCCTTCACCACCAGACGCCATCCCCTGGACAGTTCGCAGCATTATGTATTTATTTATTTAGTATTTGTATTGATTTCAGAGAGAAAGAGAGGGAGAGAGAATCATTGATCGGGTGCCTCCTGCACGCCCCACACTGGGGATCTACCCTGCATTTGCCCTGACTGGGAATCGAACCATGACTTCCTAGTTCATAGGTCAGTACTCAACCACAGAGCCATGCCAGCCGGGCAGCATTATTTTATTTTATTTTTAATACATTTTTTATTGATTTTAGAGAGGAAGGGAGAGGGAGAGACAGACAGAAACATCAATGATGAGAGAGAATCGTTGATTGGCTGCCTCCTGCATGCCCCCCACTGGAGATCGAGCCTGCAACCTGGGCATGTGCCCTTGACTGGAATTGAACCAGGGATCCTTCAGTCCACAGGCTGACGCTCTCTCCACTGAGCCACACCAGCCAGGGCTAATTTTAGAGGCAGCCCAGGGTCAGAGAGGGGACATGAGAGGCACACAGCAATGACAAAGGAAAAGCCTTTGGGTTAGAATCGGGGCTCTGCTCTTTCTGCTCCATGACTCGGCCAATTTCTTCTCTCTGAGCTGCTGTTCCCTCAGCTGTACAAGGGGAATGATAACCGTGTCTCCTGGTTGGGGTGGCTGAGCGAGCAAAGAAGGTGACCTGTGTGAGTGCTGGCCGCGCCGCACACCTCTGCAAAGGGTGGAACCACAATTCCCCGGGAGTGGCCGCTCACTCTTCTTTCCCCTGCCAGGCACTGAGTAACCGGGGCCAGCACAGCATCTCGTACACACTCTCCCGGAGCCACTCGGTCATAGTCGAATACACACACGACAGTGACACAGACATGTTCCAGGTATGCTCGGGCCCTTCCGCACGCCTCCTGGCCACCAGCCTCAGTGGTCGGCTCTACACACCTTCCAGGGGGAGGCTGGAGGACCGAAGGCCCTGGGGAAGGTGCTTTGGGGGCCTTAGTGCAGTTGACCTCTCTTCAGATGAGGAAGCAGGACATCCCAGCAAGGGTCACACAGCAGGTAGTCGCTGTATCAGGATTCAAACCCAAGACCGGATGCCCCAGCTGTGGGAGGACATACAGTTTAGGGGTTCAGAGTGGCATGTGAGAGTCACACCACCTGGCTTGGATCCCAGCTCCATGGCTTACTAGCTTGGTGGCTTTAAGAAAGAGCCACCTAAGCTCTCCAGGCCTTGCTTACCTCATCGCTCAGGTGGGGCCCAGAATGTACCCACCCGAGGAGTTATTGGGAAGATTAACTGAGATATGGCACAGAACATGCTTAGCAAAGAACCTGGCATATAATAAACACTACAAATTCATTAGTTGCTGCTAATATATGAGCACTTCCAGACCATGGCTGTCACCCTTTCACTGTGCAGTCAGCAAATCGGCTAGTTCTTATTGAGGGGGATGCTCCCCAGAGCTTTGGGGGAGGTGAGGGAGAATCCCTGGACCTTAGCAACTGGACTTGGAGCTCCCCGGGGACTTGAGATGGTGCTGCCCCCTCATGATTTGGTGACTCTGCATGCAGAGCAGCTACCAGGAACCCCAGGGGTGGGAAGCCCGGGGATTGACCTGTACACACAGCAGCCCTGTGCTTGCCTTCCCCTTCCTCACAGATCGGCCGCTCCACAGAGAACATGATCGACTTTGTGGTAACAGACACGTCTCCTGGAGGAGGGGTGGCCGAGGGCCCCTCTCCCCAGAGCACCATCTCCCGCTATGCCTGCCGCATCCTGTGTGACCGACGGCCGCCCTATATTGCCCGCATCTATGCCGCCGGCTTCGATGCCTCCAGCAACATCTTCCTTGGAGTGAGTGAGCCCCAGGCAGGGCCCAGCGCTTCTTCTGAGAGTGAGCTGTGGGGCAGGCTGGGGAGGGGCAGCATCCTGGGGTGATGGACCAGCCCTTAGTAATCATAACTATGACCTATGCAGGCTTAGCACCCCGCTTAACCAGTGAGCAAAGTGAGGTTCAGAGAGGTCAGATGACATCCAAGGTCGGGCAGTGCCAATGTTAGTCCCCTCTGGGCTACCTGTGACCTTGAGGAGAGAGGGACAGCCCCCCTGGCTCATGACCTGCTGGGGGGCCACTTGAGGGTGTGGTCTGATCCCACGTGTGGTCCCAGGAGCGGGCAGCCAAATGGCGGACCCCCGATGGCCTGATGGACGGCTTAACCACCAATGGGGTCCTGGTGATGCACCCAGCGGGCGGCTTCTCTGAGGACTCGGCCCCAGGTGTCTGGCGGGAGATCTCAGTCTGTGGGAACGTCTATACTCTGAGGGACAGCCGCTCGGCACAGCAGCGGGGGAAGCTGGTAGGTGGTCTGTCCCCTCCCCCCTCCCTGCGCAGTCATCCTTCCTGGGATCTCCGAATCTGCCCGTCCCCCTGCCCAAGCCAGGAGGTGGCCTCCAGTCCTCCTGCACGAGGGAGCCCCAACAGGCTCCAGGTGCCGCTTGCTGCACAGAGGGGACCAGGCTACTGTCCCCAAGTACCACCCTTGTTGGCGGTCAAGGAAGTGGAGCACACACAGGCACGCCATGCAGTCCCAAATGGCTTGCAGTGGTTCTCAACCTTCTGGCCCTTTAAATACAGTTCCTCATGTTGTGACCCAACCATAAAATTATTTTCGTTGCTACTTCGTAACTGTGATGTTGCTACTTTTATGAATCGTCATGTAAATATCTGACATACAGGATGGTCTTAGGCGACCCCTGTGAAAGGGTCGTTCGACCGCCAAAGGGGTCACGACCCACAGGTTGAGAACCGCTGGCTTAGAGGATCCCAGCAGCGGAACAAAATCACACGCTCTTAGGAGAGTGACACTTGGCCCATGTGTGAGCGGTTTACAGCCTAAAGTGTTGGCAGTTGATAACGTGTCTGTCACATTCAGACGGGTTTAGCATCATTATCCTCTCCCAGCGGGACGGCCTGTGGAGTAGTTCTGACGCCGGTGACAGCGAATGCTCCATGTGGTCCAGATGGGAAACTAACGTTAGGAGCTGGGAGAGGTCGTGGGGCCAAGTTCCTCAATGGGCAGCGCAGAGCTCCTGGGGATGAACGTGTCGGGCAAGGAAATGCGAAGCCTCATGGGAAAACGTGGCTTATCTTTCCAGAGCATCAATTCTGCTGGGAGATTTGGGGAAACATTTTTTTAAAAAATTATGCCCGCGAATGTGTCACTAGCATTCGCTGAGTTCCAGGCACGTTCCAGTTCACATTGACTGACTCATGAGAACCACTTGACATACAGGAAAGTGGAGTCCATCTGGAGGGTAAGGAAGTGAAGACACAGACAGGCTGAGTTACTCCACCAGGCACACAGAGTTAGTAACCGGTGAGGCCAGAAATCACACCCAGGCAGTCCAGCTCCGGAGTCCGGGCTTTAACCCAGCCTTTGGGACAGCTGCTGTGGGCTCAGTCCCCAGTAATAGAGGAGTTTCCTGCCGCTGCCACTAGGGGAAGCCTGGGGAAACTCCGTTTGGGTCCAGACCCGATTTGACGGATGAGGTAACCAAGGCCCACACTCTGTTGAGTGAGGGACCCTGTGTGCCTGGGAGCACCTGCCAGCCCCCCTTCTGAGATGGTGCTGCCTGCTTCTTGGTCCTCCCCCCTCCCCTACCCCAACCCTCCCCTCTCTGTCCCAGCCACACCCCCTCCCCCCAGCCTGCGCTGACAGTCCAGGGTGCCCTCTCCAGGGAGGTTCTGTGGGATGGATGGGTGGCTAGTCTGGGGAGACGGCTGCCCGATGGTAAGGGCGTGGGGGCCTCTTGGGCAGTCAGGCCCTTCTGCTCCCCTGGCAGGTGGAGAACGAGTCCAATGTGCTGCAGGACGGCTCCCTCATCGACCTGTGCGGGGCCACGCTGCT